TGTGCATGCAGGTGCTCAAATGAAGATGGCAGCGAACAAGAGTAAGCAGGCAGCGAAGGGCAGGGCAAAGAAGGCTCAGTCTGATTCTGCCAAGGCATTGGATGAGGAGGAGGTGGCCATGGAATGTGCTGACATGGAGGGGATGGAACCAGAGCTCAGGCAGGTCGCCACCAAGCTCAAGAGTCTCCCAAAGTGCTTCACAAAGCTCAATGTGAATTCCATCATGGACGGTGCGAAGATCGGAAGGAGCATTGAAGCGGCCGGGGGTTGACAAAAGCTGATTGTGACTTCTTATTGGCCCTTCTCCTTTTTAACTCAATTCTGACAGAGTTGGAGTTTGATATTGCTTTTTTTCTAGATACAAGAGCCCAACCCTCTAAGCATTGACTCTGCGATTGGTAGCCAGGCTAGAAAGTAAGATTGCCTCGACTCTAGCTGACTCTAGCTGCTAGCTGTTAAATTCAGCTTGGCAGAGGAACAGTGGTAGTAGAATCACGCACAACCCTGCCTTGCAAGGGTCGGAATGTGCTCAAGACGATGAAGACCCAGGGCGTCAAGGAGGCACGCATTTTGGACAAGTTCTTGGACCTTTGCGATGTAGCGCATTCTCTCACCCACCACATCAAGACTTTGACCATTGCTGATGTCCAGTCGAGTGTGGCACGGCTGCTGGATTCTCAGAAGGTGTTGCCCTTGAGCCTCAGGCTCGGCATTACAGCCCGATTTGCAGAAGACCTATGCCATCAGATTGTTGGAGACGAAGGCAGCACGTTGCCTGCGCCGGAGGTGTCCAAGCTTATGACCAAGCTGATGAACACCGTGGTGTTTTGGACTAGGGGTGATGAGAAGGCACAGGGTTGGGACTACAAGCAACCGAGCTTCAATGATCTTGCGGCAGAGATTTCCGATCTTTCTGTGACCATGGATTGCGAGGTTGACGAGAACACGCTTATTGCGATCAAAGAGGAGATTTGCATTTGTTCATTCTTTTTACCACTGTGTCCTCCATTTCAATACAATGTACTTAACAAATTGTGGGCGACCAACTGGTGACCAACTATATTAACTATACAGGATAGGATATACCATTGCGTTGCAGTGTTGTTGCCATTGGCTACTCCAACAACAAACTTGGAGCAACTCGCCTTTGAAACGTCAATATGCATTACATGGAATACATATACAATATAATATACTGTACATAAAACGATGAGCTCACTTTCTCACTAAGTCGTGTGTTTTACAAACACCCCCGAGGAGTTCTTCTCCACCTACGTTGATGCTGTGGGCAATGATTACTTCTTTGGAATCTTGGAGCTTGGTCAAGAGGGGGAACATCTCATCCTTGCGATGGCAGAGCTTTACTTGACCATGTACAAGGCTGATGCTGTTCAGGAGCAGTCTCTGCCTGAGCCTCTGAAGGCAGCAGCTCGCATAGTCAAACAAGCCTTGGGCGGACTGGTTGTCTTGCTGAAGCCAGAGCCAGGGGTCTTTGGATCATCTGCGGATGATCTCCAGCACATCCTGAACGCAAAGGGATCATCCAATGAGCAACTCACTTTTCTCTCCACCATCGCAGTCTTTCTTGATGACAACGGGTTTTGGCAGGGAAAGCTTGAGAGCTTCATGCAAACATCGGTAGCAACAGCGAGGCTTGCACCCCAAATCTCTACGGTTCTGGAGGCGATGAAGGCGGATCTGGATGTGGTTTCCACGACTCCGGGATTGGAGAAGGCCATTGCATTGCTTCCAGAAGTGAAGAAATGCTTACGTGAGGGAGCGGGCAGTTCACTGGAAGAGGCTATCTTCAAGCGCTTGAAGGAAATCCTTTCCTGTATGAACGAAGACACTGACGCCGACATTGATATGGGGAAGTTGCAATTCCTCACCAAGGCGTTTGGTGGGCTATCAAAATCTGAAGAAGTTGCCCGTGAAATCAAGTCCTTGGAGACTTTGAAAGGACGCTATGCAAAGGGAATGGCAGGAAAGAGTTTGACGAAGCTGGCTGAAGACCTCAAAACAAACCAGTCCATGTCGCTGAACCCAAAGGAGGACTTCAACCTTGTGTCTGGGTGGGTGGCGTCAGTGAAGGATGAGCCTGGTCTTACTCAACTTGTTCCTTCGTTCCAAGTGCTGGTCATTGGCTTCGTGAAATCTATTTGGATTTCTCAGGATCAGGCCACCAAATGCTTGTGTTTGTTTGACTGTAGAGTGACAGTGTGGAGATTCACATAGACTCTATAGACTGTAGACCTGCCCATTTGGTTTAGGCCTTGCTTGAATTCAGACCGAACTTAACTTAACCTACCTTTCACAAAACAAACGCAAACCCGGTAAGAACCACGGCTTGAAGTTGACTGGGGCTGTTTTTTTTGGGGTTCCCGCTCAATGCAGGCCGATGTGTACCTGCTGCGTGAGCAAGATGGGCAACTGTTGCGGAGTATGGCAAAAATTGGCTTTGATGCAGTGCCTGCTTGGAAAGATCTAGTGCCTGCTGCCATATCCTTGGTTGAGTCGCATTTGCAGCTGCGCAGCCACAAGGACCGCATCAACAAACTTGGCCCAGATGGAAAGACTCGCTTTGAGCGAGATCTCAACGGCACCATCTTGTTCAGCTTCTTGAAGGCCATGAGCCAGGTTGACAAGTTCACGGGCAGGTGCTCCGAGATCCAGGAGAAGCTGAAGATAGAGAGTATCCACAGTGGTGATGAGCATCTTCAGTTCCTTTCCAATTCCATTGCTGAGGTGAACTGTGTTGCACCAACCCTGCCTGAAGATGTTGCAGGGGTGCTTCAATCCATGATCGATGTGCGCAAGCAGCGAGTCTCTGATGTTCTTGAGAAAATCGCAGATCAGTGCCATGATCACCACATGCCCGCAACATCATGGAAGAAGAACCTCGCCAATGATTGCGCGCTTTGGGATGTCAGGAGAACCATGGCTTGTGCCACTGGAGAACCCAATATGGCACCCCTGGTTGATCATGTGAACACCGCCTTGAAGGACCTTGTTTGTTTTGTGCTGGACGGACAGGGATAATGATTGGATAATGAAGGAGACCAAAATGAGTAGAAGGGGAGAGAGAGAGAGAGAGCGTTCCCGTTACATCCATTACTATACTTCAGATGTTTGGGCTGTACTGTTGAATGTTTGATCTATCAACACCACAAGGCTCAACCCGGACCTATACCTATACTTTTCTTGTGTAGTTTTTTGCGCATCAGGATCAGTAATCAGTAATCAGAAAGCCACTTGGCATGGCTGTCCTACAACACAGGGTACCATTGCATCCATTTGCCAGGAGATCGATGCCTTGAAGGAGCTGATTGGGAAGCTGTCCTTCTCATGCGTTCAGACCTTTTTGGCACAGGCCAAGGAGATGTTGGAGCGTGCATGTGAGGCTGTCAAAGCAGCTCAATTGTTCAAGTGTGAAGGCGTGCTTGTGTTTGCCATTGGCCTCCGCACTGAAAAGACGGCCAAGCAGCTATGCGAGAAGGAGTTGAATGAACTCAAGAAGAAGGACAGCTTGGCTACTGAGGAAGGCATTCACCCAGTGCTTTTGGCAGAAGTCAAAAGGCTGCTTGGGTGAGCAATGAGTGGCATGTCGCCCTCAGTGTTCTGCTGCGAGGCATTGCACGGCAATGTGTGTAAAGTCACTGTACTGTGAAGGACCTGTACTGTACAGATTTTGGACCGCTTGACATTCCTAGGCCCCACGCCCTAGCCCTCGAGTGCATCGAGCAACCTACAAACAATACACATCACAACCCAACAGTCAACAGCCATACTACTACTTACATTCAAGAACTCTGGTTTTTGCATGTTTTTACTGAAATACTTTCAATTGGCGATGGGAAGTCAAGTGGGAAGAGCCACAAAGGCATCTCAGCTTGGATTCACGTCGAGTCCAGCTAAAATCAGGGCGTTCATGCTGCTAGTTGCTGCTGCCAGCACAGAACTCCACAAGCGTTTGCAAAGTGTCAGCATGTCCAAACAACTCTTTGCTGATAATCTACGTTATCCAGCCTGCAGAAGTGAATCTCTATTGACTCTATTGAGTTGTTCATTGGATTTTGTGTCAAAAATTAACACAGTTGTAAATTTAAAGCGCCCACCTCCTCACTAACTATGACTTTATGTCCCAAATGATTCCTCTGCTGTTTGGGTATGTGTTTTGTCCTTGATCTCCCCTTTTCATTGTTTAATCTTAGTACTTTGCACTTGTCACTTTTCAGATTGTGCTTCAACTCGGTGAATTACTGCCTTGCACTTCTTTGCCATGTTTTGCTTGCCTGAGTGCCTCATTGTTGGGTTGTTTTTTCTGCTGGATGCATTTTGCTAACTGCTAGCTGCTAGCTTGTAGCTGTTGTGAGTTGTACTTGCTCCATGCGAGTTCCTGGAATTCGGGTCTTCACCCAATCATTTGCTTGCTATTTGACTTGGTCCCCTTGTGTTTGTTGTTTGCAGTCCTTTTTTCAACGTGTTTTTTTTGTATTGTTTTTCAAGTTTAGCAAAATATTGGATTTGTTTAATTTTTGTATGTTTTTCATTTTTTTTCTTACATTTAAAAATCTGTAGATTTCCAAGGCAATCATTAGAGTGGACAACATAAACATACATGGGACCTTGTTTTAATCGGGCTTGGGACCTCCACATTGACGCAAATTGACATAGTGCCAACTTCCGATGGGGAAAGGACTTCTGAGAGGAATATTTTTCCAAGATGCAAGTTTCCTGTTGTTTGTGAATGACTCGGATCATCCAACCCAAAGAGGGCATTTCAAGAAATTCACCACATCCTCCAGAGCCTTTGCTCGTTGATCCCTCAGAAACGACCGCGAATGATGGGGTTCGGACGTTGGAAGGAGGACAACATCTCGGCATAGCAGATTCCGTTGGATCAGTTGACAGTCCAACTTCTATGAGTTACTCACAGATCCTCTGTGGCCCGGGGTGGGGACCGGGGCGGACCGGGTGGGGCAGTCCTTGTGCTTCGACAGGACAAGGACTACGGCTTGAAGGTGGATGTCTGGGCGTTGGGAGTCTGCCTACACTGTGTAGTCACTCGGCCTACCCGCACACAGCGCCCTGTATGGGGAAACGGGATAGCGTGAAGGGCAGAAGTTCAGAGGTTGAAGGTGGTCATCCGAGAAGTCCTTCGAAATGCTGTCCTTCTCTGCAAACATCCAAACTGTGTTGCAGTATCACCGGTTCCCGTTAGTGCAGCGCCCTTTGGTGAAAAAAACCCTCACTGGTTCGTCTGAAAGGGACGGCTGCTGAACACCAAAACCCCTCACTTTTACGAAGCACAGACAGTTTCTTTTTTGTGTGTTTTTGGGGTGGTCATATACCACTGGATAGAGACACATAGGAAAGTTCAACAAGAACTGTTGGACGAGCACTTTGGAAGTTCTACAATAAGGATCTTCAAGACATATCAGATGAACATGCAGGTTGTTTGATTAGACTAGTGCGATGTGGACGAACTTTTCCCAACACAGGTCCGGAACCCCAAGCGCAACAAGGGCTTTCGGACTGAAGATTGCCTGTTCAGCGCTCTTTTGGTGATGAATACATTCAGGATCTCCCCCTGTCTTGAGACAAGCCTAATTCTCCGTTCTTCCCAACTCAGGTATATGTATTGCAGATTGTCCGCAGGAAAGCACTATCGATGACCTGACTCAGTTTGTTCTGAGGCGAGTAACGCCTTCCCCTTCGTGGATGAGCAGGAGGTTCGTACCAAAAGTATCGGCTTGTCCAACATCAACCGAGCCTGTCTCTCGATCGAATTATGCGTGTACTGATCTTATCACTGTAGAAATGCTTCTTTTCCGAAGTCGCTCGAAGACGTGAGTCCCCCGCGCTCGAGCGAACATCTGGGCATGTTGAGACGGGAGGCCGGCCCGAGACGCGCGAAACGAGCACCGGGACGAACGCTTTGGATGTCTCCGAGTCAATGCGCCGGTGTGGAACCGGCTTCCACGTGGTCTCTATGCCAGGGGAACCCCGGTATCCCACCGCCCTCTGGAAGGTCAACAGGGTCAGCAAGGCTTGAGGTACGTGTGATTTCGTCGGAAGGATCCCGCAAAAATGAGGTTTTTTTCTTACCTCGCAATAGAACGACTTGATGCTGAGACCAAGGGAGCTCTGCGGAGAAAGACGAAGGGGTTGTCTATATTCGGTGGCACCATCTTGATCAGTAATCAGGTTCTTCCAGGAGAAATTCTCTTCCTGGACACCACCGCTCAAGATCTTAGGTCGAGGTCTCATCTCGTCGATGCTCGAGAAGGCGTTTGACCGAGACTGGGGTAAGATCTGTGTGTCGAAAGCTTTGTGTGCCGCCAGGCTCACTTGAGAAGACGAGTAGCTAAGACTTCACATCCTTTTTTGGTACTCACCGTGCGTGCTTCTCATCACTCACCGTTGGCAACAATGGGTTGAAAAGAACGCAATTTGCGATGAGATCGTGCGATGAAGAGAAGAAAGCTCCTTTCGCAGGTCGTGAAACGTGGTGGGATTGAAGATGAACGTGGTGAGTCGATCGGAATTCGGACCACGCGCATTCATCCAACTGCATGAAGGGGGGGATCCCTCACCCAGCTTCAAAGGCAGAAAAACCCAGGCCACCGGGCTGAAACTGCAGGTGGAGGAGATTCGCATCAACATGGAGGATGTCGTGTGGCATCCCTGGTTGACCCAAGAAACTGCGACTGAAGCACCTTGGTACGCTCCGTGAGCTCGAACTCCGCTTACGGCCGGTCTTGGGGGGGCGAACTTGCACCAAGACAGCACGTTTGGGGGTTCTTGAGGGACTTCCTGGGTCGAAAGAGAGAATGTACACCCCTTCGTGTATGTTTTCTTTACTAGTGTGGCACTTGTTACTAATAGCTTCTTGTTACTACTAGTAAGGCACTTGTTACTACTAGCGTGGCACTTGTTACTAATAGCTTCTTGTTACTACTAGTAAGGCACTTGTTACTACTAGCGTGGCTTCTTGTTACTAATGGCTTCTTGTTACGCTTTTGTTTTGGAGAAAGATCCTTGAAGGATGAACAATCTGAGGAGCCAGACTTCGAGGCTTTGCCCCCGCCCTCGGTTTGGGCGTGCCTCGGTGGAACATGTCGGAACAGGGCGAGTTTGGGCGAAGGATGTGGCGAGTGATCTGGAGGTCGGGTTTTCATGAGTAGTCTTCCTCTTGTCCTGTAGAGCAGGTGTTTGTTCTTTTTTTTGCCGAGATTTGCTGCCTCTTGAAGTGGGGGTTCAGGCTTTTTGAAAGAAACATGAGGCAGGGTGACACTGGCTTGTTTGTGGCCCTGAGCAAGGGGGACTTGCAACGAGTTCTGGACTGGTCAATCAACAGGACAGCATGGGTTAGTCATAGTGGGAGGGCATGAACCGATATTCGTTGGCATTTGAAAGGCGTCTTCTGATGTGTTTGCCTTAGATCTACCACTGAGGATCGCGATTGTTATTCTACCAAGCGTTGCTCCTTTGCGTGGCACCCTGTTTTTCCTGTCATGACACTCATGTCAGCGGCTTTCAGCCCAGTTCGCGATAGAGATCGGGTTAATCATAGTGCCACGAGATCCATTCCTAGGGATTTTCAGGGATTGGGTATTCCGAGGGTTTGGTAGATGTTATTCTCTTTCCCCGTCCAACAATGAGCACATTTTTCCTTCCTTTTTCAATCCTTCTTCTGTATCTCCTTCCCCTCTTCCTTGCATCTTAGGATTATCACCTTTGATGTACAAACTATGTATATAACCCAATCTTAGGGTTCTCCTTCTATTTTGTGACCTTCTTCCGGACCAGTTTCTCCTTCCGCCAAGTCCTCTTGCACCCCAAAGCCCCGCGCCTTCCTTCACGGACCTTCTGCGCACCAAGGTTGCTCCCTGATGTCAGTGAGTGGCGGCTTCCCTCCTTCCCACGGAAGGGGCGGAAGGCTCGGCGGCTTTGGCCCCTCGCCATGGCCTCGCTGATGACAGGGATAGGCTTGGCCAGGATGGCCTTGCGGTTTTGCCCAGGCATGAGAGAGTTGTGTCGTGCGGTATTTTTTTTGCGGGTGGAAGGGAAGGGTTGGGAATGATTTGAGTGGAAAGTAAGACTAGTAAGACCAGGCAGAAACAGTTCAGTGCTTTGGATTACTAACGCCAACATTGGAGGCTTAGACCTTTTATTCGACAGAGTCTCAGAGGTGAGGTTTATCTCAAGACCGAATTCTCAGAGCTTTCCGCCAAACAGTTGATACAGAAGGCCCCAAGAATATCTTGGCTTCGTGGGACTTGAAGGTCCTATCTTTTTGGTCGACCAATTATATACTACTTCATCTATTTTTTTTTTCCGAATGCATAGCGAAGGGTTCCCGTTTATCTCTGGGGGTCTGGGGGTAGAGCTGTGTTCATGTGACGCTAGCTTTGTGTTCGCAACCGTTCGCAACCGTCCGCAAGTGTTTGAATGTGATCGATAAAGCCGTGCCATTGGGGGAAGCATTTGGAGGAGGTTTTGGATGGAAGGCTGAAGTGTCAGATTCATGTGAAACAGCATAATTAGAAACGTAACATTTGGAAGTGAGATCCTCAGTTGCCTTCCCTGTGCCAGTGGCATTGGCGTTCGCAGGGTGGTTTGTTTGAGGTGTTGGATGTCGCTGTGACATCGGGATTTGCATTTCAGGCTCTTGCCTCGAAGCTGTGTCTTCGTGACATGTCTCAGCTAAAGCTGCGATGTCGGTGGATGTGAGTGTGCTCAGAAAGCATCGAAATCACTCCACGTGTGTGGTGTGTGGTGCAAGTTTTGCTGAAGACATGAAGGCGTGATGTAGTAATGTTTCGTGGCGGGCGCAGTCTGCTTGTTGGAGGTGTCGAAGTCGAATTTTCGTGAAAGGCGCAGGGAGCCGTGAGGTTGTGACGTTTGGCGGGCATCAATGTCGCTGTGCCATGGGGACTTGGCGTGTCAGCGGATGTGGCGGGGCTTGTGAAGCTGCTTGGCAGGGCTGCTTGATGTACTCCCTCTGAAGAGACTTCCCGCTGCACTTTTGGAGGAAGTCTCCTACGAAGCGCTCGTTGTGGGGACTTGACGCGTGAGTCTTTTTATGAAGCAAGAGTGTTCCACAGAGTGTTGTTCTGACAAGTGACAAGAGTCTCCCACAAAGAGTGTCCACAAGACTGCCACTAGAGTCAGAATCACTAGAGTGTCAAGAGTGTCCCACAAGAGTGTCCTTCAAAAGAGTGTCCTACGAGAGTGTTCTGCAAGACTTTCCGAGAAAAGTGTCCCACAAGAGTGTCTCCTACAAGAGTGTTCTGCAAGAGTGTCCCGGAAAAGAGTGTCTAACAAGAGTGTCTAACAATGTTTGGCCGATTGTTGCATTGGTTGGGGTTCCTCACGTCCAGTCGCGTCTGATGCATGCACCTTACACCACACCAGATTGTGCCGGGTTTGTGAAGGTTGGCCTAAGAGTTGGGGTATGAGTCACTTGAGTGCAATCCATCATTTTCGTGAGCAGGGTTTCATGGATGGCTGTGCCTCAAGTTGATTTGACCACAAAAAGGCCCTTGATGAAAGACCTCCTTAACACCAAGCGTTTGCCATGAAGAGTTTTTGGTACTCAAAATGGACCAAGAAAATGTGTCCGCAGTTGTCCCTGCGAAACGCGGCGAAGAGTCGCCAGGATGGGATAGTACAGCACCTTGGAAGCCAACGAGTCTTCCAACCGTCTGACTTTTGGCTGGAACAGGGCAGGGGATTTTGGAGCGGCTACCGGGGATGCCCGGGGGGGAGGTGATTTGGGCCTTCCAAACCCGGGTTCTTTAGTCTGGCACTAGTGCCTTCTTAAGAGGCTACCATTGAAGACCGATGTACCATATCAGATGCGTACAGTCACCTTCCACGTGACTTGGCGTTGACCCTGAATGATCCTTCCGGCTGAGGCTTGAAGCCCCTTCGTACAGGGAAAGGTGTCGGCATCGTGTCCCGCGCGCTGGCGCGCGGTGGCGCTCGCACGCGTAAGGGGACGGTGTTTGTTCGATGATCCTCTGAGGGAATGGCCTCAGAGATGTTTCGGACCGATGGATAGAGAGCCACGCCTTTCCGTGAAATGGGCTCTTGTTTGGTAGCGACTTCATCTAAAACCCAGTTCAAAAAGCTCAGAGCCCATCAAGGAGTCCTTTGCATCGCTCGGTTCAGTGCCTCTGGCGCCTCCCCGTTTGAAGTGACGCAGACCATGTCGCCCCCCGTCCCCAACCGTACAGCTCGGGCAACGCACCGAGTCCAGTTCCCCCCTTGGACGCCAAGATCGGCCGAGGGGATGCGGGTGTCTTGAAGAGATCGATGCACAGGGAGGAAAGGAAGGGTCTGTAGAATGGGGCCTGTTCTAGAGTCGAAAGAACCACGACAAGACAAAGAAGAAGCACATTACGAAAAGAAGACCGAAAGACAAGACACCGACAAAGACCAAAGAGTAGGAAAAGAAAGGAACAAACTGGGGCAGCTGGGAGCGATTTTGACTTCTTTTCACCTCCAAAATAGGCTTTCAACAAGGGCCTTGCTGGCAGATGTTGCGAATTCCCACAGTGCTGCCATGCGAATTCCCCCAGGATTCGTGTCCCAACGGGTCTCAGGACAGCTTTAATCTTCGAAACGCATCGAACGTGCAAAAGTCGAAGGCGACACATCACTGAAGTATTTGGACTTCTCTTTTGCTCCCCCCAAATTTGGTTTCTCTTGACCCAAAAGGCACCAACGCCCGTTCACATATGTCCCTTTGGACCTCAGAGGTTTTCAAGCAGCTTCGCAGCTTCTTATGACTTTTGCTTCGTAAGCACTGACTGCTCTAGGCCTGAAGCTAAGAGTTGGTCTCAACTAAATGACACTACCCTTTGAGACTTGCTAGTAGGTTGGAGGCCCCTATTAGGGTGGAGGCCCTTTGAGACACCTTCATTACTGTCCTTTCAAGTTCTGCTCCGTTTCACCGGGAGTCTTGACGCACTTTGCGAGTTTCCTTCGACGTCTACCTATGTGAGACGCTTTGGGCTTCGCCGGCGTCGGCCCCGTTTCCAATCCACGGTACTTACCCCGCGCTTCCACGGCCCATTGTTTGGGCAATTGGCCGGAGGTCGGTAGGGGCGGAAGGCGGAAAAGACCTCTGCTCCTTCGGTCCCATCTTTTGAGTTGGCTTCAGATTCGAGGGGACACCTACTACTCATGGCCGCGATGGCCTGTTTCGGACCAATCATCTCTTGTTTTGAAGATGTAACATATAGATTTCTACAAGGGGAAAAGCTGGGTAAAGAACATGTACAAAGACGTCTGGATGCTCTGCGCCTACATCCCTGGTTGATGTCCCCGGAATAGATGCGCATTTCGAGCGCCAGTGTTATTTCTAGATGCGCCATGTTTTTCTAGATGTAAAGAACCCATTTTTTTGTAGAAGCAACCGTTCTGCGAGCATGACAAATCTGTCGCCAAAGTTGTGCTGAATCTATGGACCTCTGCCTGAGTCGATGGCCACGGGGGTCGCCGAGCTTCTAGAAACCTTGGTTGATGACTAGTAACAAGAAGCTATTAGGAACAAGTGCATCGCTTCTAGCAAACAAGTGCCTTACTAGTAGTAGCAAGAAGCTATTAGGAACTAGTCCTCAGAGTCCTCAGAGTCCTCCAGGCCCAGGATTCGCACCGGTGAGTCACAGCAGGTCACTGAAAGCCTCCAATGCTCAATGCCTTTCCGGGCCTTTATGAATGACAATTATGACAATTGCATCCTCTTAGAACCGCTTGTTGTATCGATCAAGGACCAAGGCCAAAACGAGTCTAGTGTTCCAGAACTGTGGGTGTTCCGAACACCTGCGAGATCTTTCTGGCCACTCTTTTTCTGGGCCGCACCGGGCGACCTCACTGCCGGAGACCTGTTTTTCAGAGATCCCAATCCATTTTCTGCCTAATCAATGGGGTCATTGCATCGCTGCGGGGATCAGCGCACGGCGCGCACGCGCCGGCCCTCCGTCCCGGACGCGCGACGCGCGGCCCGGGGCCATCGAGCTGGTGCGGGAAAAGAGGAGCAGTGAAGATGCAAACGGGGGTAAGTGAAGGTCGTTTCTGAGAAAGCAAAGGATTTCGGGTTTCTGAGAAAGCTTAGGAAGCAAGGTCTTTGTTTCTTTTCTGCCTTAGCCTAATCATTTAGGATTCTAGCAGTTCTTGAAAGGTATTTTGTCTACCGGAGTGAGGGAAAGGGTGACGAGGGACGATCATGTTTGAACATTCTCATGTTGCACTGATGTTCATCTCCTTGTATTCAAGTCGCCTAAGCCTGCTCTCCAAGACTTCGACCGCCTTTAGGGGAAAGAACCCAGCTTGGCCAATCTTCACCAGGAAACCTTTGCAACATGAAATTTGACCCTCAACTGGTGTCAACATATCACAACCACTTGCTTTGTCGCACGTAGTCCGAGAGTAGGGTCTACAGAGCTTAGCTAGTTGAAAAGCTCCAGTCGCTTCAAGGCTTGAGGGTAGTTATGTCCTGTCCTCCATCACATGATCGACCAACGCCTCCATGTCGACCTCGCCTTGCGAAGTGTTTCATGCCGCCGAACGGTTGACTTCCCAGGAAGGCCACAGAGCTTCTGCAAGTGCTGCCGATGGACGTTCCTCTTGCGCCACAGGCAGAAGGCCAGACCTGGCAATGGACAGATGACGCTCAAGCTTCAGCTTCCCAGACATTTCCTTGGCCAGATTGCTTGTTGTTTGCATGTCAGACAGGAGCAGGATAAAGTCATTGTCTTGAGTCGTTTTTCAACGATGCCAGTTATGCAACGAGTCATTGTAGAACTATTAGCATTTCGTAAGCACTGCGGTGCCAGCTAGATGTGGAGGTTTAAACAGTGCATGCTTGTTTCCCGAGCGATGTTATTCTTGTTTTCTACACATGCGCCTTTCCATGCGCCTTTGCCAGGAGTCAGCAAGAATGCCAAAAGGAATGAGCTGGGCTCTTGGAAAGGAGACAAACTTGAAAAAAGAAGACCAATGGCCGAAAAGCCTTCCGGACCTTGGACAGGAAGTGGAGTCATGGGCTTCGAAAACCTCCACTTCCTGTTTTGGTGGCCGCTGCCTGTTGTGCTTCATTGCCGTACTTCGCCGTACCTCCGAGGCGCCGGCGGAGCCGCAAGCACAGTGAAGAGGCGCAGAGGGCGGGACCGAGCTCGGTGTGAGCGAAGTGACAGCAGCAGAGCGCTCTCAGCCCCGATGGGATTGCGGACCTTGTTGGGGAGGCAATCACTTGGTGGCGCCTCCTACTGTAACTAATAGCTTCTTGTTACTTGTTTTTTTTGTTTTTTCAATCACCTTGTAGACCAGTGCTAAACCAATCACGGACCGACGAGAGCTATGCTTTCTCACCGTTTAGCGGAGGGCAGAAACTCAACCCCCAACGAAGGCGTCCTCGTTGAAAAAGGACGGTCCACCGTGTAGCGAACGACCTGACTTCGGTAGGTCAATCGGTCCGTATTCTGGTGCGATGACCCACAGCCGTGTTACCCAAAACCCACTAAGCCTGTTCGTGGGTTGTTTGGCTGAGGGGTACCCGTTCGCGCCAGAAGGCTGTGAATAACATAAAACTTTGAATGTTACCCTTTTTCTTTAACGGCGCCTTTGAGTCCAAGAAATAGCCGCAGACCGGTACAACATGTTGAACATCATTTTCGATGTTTACCGTTCTTACCGGGCGTGTGACAATTCAAGAGGCAACCGACCCGGGAAAATCCTTTAGCAACGTGACCGTTCTTTATTTTTAATGTTTTTACCACGCCTTTGTTACAGCCATTTGGCTAGCAGACCCGGGAAACATGGCATAAAATAGATGATTTTTTGCCGTTCTTACCGCACCTCACTGCGGAAAGGACACCCATTTATTTTTACTATTTTTCTATTTCTTAATCTTTGACCTGTGAGCCACTGATTGCGAACCAAGGTACAATCTCGCATTCTTGCATTACTATGCATTATTACTATGCTCCTTTTCCATACGCCATACGCCAAAAACATGCATGTCTTTTTTGCAAAAAACACTGCCCGGATACAACGCATGCAGTAAACGCTCTCAAACCTATATAACCCGATGATTCTTTCCTTCACTTTTCAGTCTGTTTTGACTGCGGATTTCCATCAACAGAGTCTACATTTTTGGACCCGAAGAACAACGCGCACAAGGGAAGTCGCTTGGTACCGGTCTCAAAGCATCTTTAAAACCAAAATTGCCCGACAGATCCGCGCAAAGGCACTGTTTCTTTTTTTCCCGTTTTTACTGCGCCCTTCGCACGAAACACCACAGACCCGTACAAAACGGACAAACAGATCACCCTTTTTTATCGTTTGCACCGCGCGTGTGGCCGAGCACAAAGACCTCCCGAGGTCTCGTCACGCTCGACGGAGGACACTGTTCTCCCGAGATCCTGCCCCGCCGTGACACTCTCTCTTTCATCCACGGAAAGTGAAGAACCTGGTCCCTTGGATGACCATCTTCAGGGATGAACTCTACAACATCTTCAAACACTCCCTGTTCAATCACTTCCTTGATGGAGTTCACCATCTTCAAACACGTCCTCTACCAAACCTCGCCAGGATGGCGCCTCGAGCGATTCGTCCGGCTGGGCCATTGCGCCACTGGGCGGAAGGATTGGTTGTCTTCAACTGAAAGCAGAAGCACCGCTATGGACGCTATGCTTGACACATTTTGAAGAGATGAGCAAGTGGGTTTGTCAAGAAGTAAGAGATAGGAGTGTGACCAATTCATGTGGGGTGTCAAAACGCTCCATGCTGGCAATCAAGCTGTTGGAGGCCATCGCGAGTGGGGTGGAGGCCAAGCTCTTGTTTTGTGTCTCCCGCTCCACCGAATCCCAGGTATGGAGGTGATCCAGAATTCTCCTTCAGCCCGGCCATGAGGTGCGGACGACTTTGGTCTGTTGATTTGCCCGGCCGATCGTGTTGTGGCTTTTGGATTCTCCCATTCTCATGCATTCTCACTGCACAGTCACCAAGCGCTTCGTTGTCACCCACTGCACTTGGTTTCCTCCAGGATGGTGGTGCGGCAAGTCTCCTCCTCTTCGCACACATCGCACGATGTGTCGTGA